ATTGCATAGCATTTTTTATTAACTTATGCAATTATACTTATTTATTTATTTTTTATGCAGTATTTTTTTATTTAATATTAATTCTAGTTTTTCTTTGATATTAATTCAAGTAACACTTTTTGAGCGTGGTGATCGATAAGAAAACACATTTTTTTCTTTTATTGAAAGAATGAGAAATTAATATTGTTTAAAATATTTTTATTGTCTTACAATACATGTAGGTCATTCAGGATTTTTATCACTGAAACTAAAGCTTTATGGTAACTGAAATAAGAAACATAAGTTTGATACTTGATATCATTGATAATCCGATTGAAAATTTAATTTTAATTATATTGTTCAAGTCAAACGAGATACTGTTCCAAAGGGTTGGGTAGCTTTTTAACAAAGGAATAATAATGTTGCTAATATTATGACTCCGAATACTGAATAATGCATTTTTTATTATAGAATTATTTATTTGCCATTAAAAAAATTGTATCTTAAATATTATTATTTTTGAATCACCCTGCTCTTCAATTGATTTGTTTCGCTTGAGATATGCGAAAATACGCCTACAAGTATGCAAACATTTTGCGCATATTTTGTGATCTTATTAGGTTTATTTCCGTTACGGGATTAAAGCTATGCAATAGCCTAAAATATATTAGAACTTTTTGAAAAGAATTTATAGCATCTTGCTATTTGTTAATTTTTCCGTATCTTCGCTAGACTTTTCGAAATGGCTAGCGCAAATGTATTAACGCAGCAAAGAAAACAGAGCCCGCGAGCAAAGAGAGCCAATTTAAAAATTATTTGTTTGAGGTTCGGTAACAGTTTTTCAACAACTTTCAAATCTATCTCTAAAATCATCCAAAGTCCTAAATTCCAAAAAAAAACTATTATTCCTCAGATGGATACAGGTACAAGTCAAATTTTTGATATTTGACCAAACGGCGGCATCTCAAAAAAGTGAAAAAAAATTTTTTGTAAAAATATACACTTCAAAAATCGAAATTATTGTTTGTAAAAATTTTATATCTTCATTCAGTACCTAAAAAATATATAAAATAAAGCCTTGTGTATATTTCAAGTCGATTGGTCTTGCAGTTTCGGACACACCGACTCTGAAAACACCTTTTCAAGAAAAACCCGTTTAAAGTTTTGGGAGCCGATTACAATAACAAAAAAAAAAAAATCGCAAAAAAAGTTTTTGTAATTCAAAAGTGGATATAATTCTTAATTCTTGTTTTTTCTCTCCATTTGACCTACAAGTATAATTACATAACTCGATCCAACTGATACAATGCCTTCTTCAATAACTTCTCAACGATTATCCGCTATAAAGATTCATGAGATGTAGCATGATTACTGTTAATATTAAAGCTTAATGTAATGTAGTGTACATGTATCGAAAGAAATTAACAATTTATGAAAAAATAGCGCATAATTGCATTTTCTACTTTAATTGCTAACTCTCCATCAGTTGTGTCCACGGTTAAACGCTGTAAGTTGGGAAAAAATACTAAACAATTTTATGTTACATTGACTTTAACACTTTCCGGAGCCCTCTCCACAGCGCAGTTGCACCGTCACACATGCACACCATGTGTGCCAACATCTGGCTGCCCTCGCTTAGTCGCCGAAAGCAAAGCTCATATAAAACCATTCATAATTCATTATTTATACTCTAGTGCTCGTGTTTTTTCCACATACAAATTGTTAATACTTCAAAAACTAACTTTTTACAATGACATGCAATATACATGACATCCCTTGCCGCAGCTGTGGCCAGCATTTTTATTCCACCACTTAACTGGGAGAAATCTTTTTTCCAACAAATTTTCCTCATATTGCATTTTAGTGCTTAGAACTTGTTGATTGCTATAAATGCAGAGCAATTGTGCGGAAAATTAAGTGCTTTTTTCCACTCCGATTGACTCCGATTCAATGTATTCACACCTACACTCAAACACACACATATCTGTATATATATATTTGTGGACATATATACAAGTAGTATCAACAAAAAAAGTCAATGCTGCAGTTATGTGACTACCATTCTATTAGCGCCATGTTCGAATGCTGATTACCGTTGATAGCGTCTTTATTTAATCCAATTCTTCTGCCGCTCTCCCCTCTCATCAGTTTCGGTACTTTTCCACCACCAAGTTTAAATACAATAATTTTAATTGATTTACAGTGATTAACTATTCATCTGATAATCCGCTTAAAAACCTAAACCTAAAAAAATAAGTTTTGGTAAATGGGCGCCAAAGCCGTTAAGCGCTTTTTGGCCTTTTAAAGGTTTCAACCGTCACTGACACCTTGCTTGTCTATTATTATGGCTGACCGACAGCTCTTCAGCTAATATAATTGAATTGCACACTATGAACATACATATGAGTGTCTTATTTCCCATGCGTGGAAATGAAAAGTCAATTACGATTTTTGTGTTTTTTGTTTTTGTTTGCTAAGTAATCGGAATACTGACCATTTGGTGCCATTCGAGTATTTAAGGGATAATAATTATGGAAAAAGCCAAATTTACTCAGTTTAATAAAATTGGAAATTACTTAGTACAAATACTAAAAAGTAATTAACACTGAAAAATACTGATTGATTGTTGCAAACAAACAAATTCAGTCGATAGAAAATATCATGAGATATTCTCAAAACAATTTTATTCTAATTGCCTATAATAGAGTTTGGGTATATTAAATATACAATTAAGTAATAAATTAAATTATTGACTAATCAATTTGTAACTACTTACATATTTTAACTTATTACTTATTTAAAATATAATTATGGCAAAATACTAAAAAATAATGAAGATATAAATTAAATAATGGTATGTGGACATTTTCTAATGAAGAACTTGACAGATACTCATTGACATACGTCCGCAAAACGCAAGAACTTTTTATTTCTATATTATTTCTAAAAATTTAGCAAATATTATACTATTTGGTCTGCAGTCAAAGGATTCTTTTTTCATAAAACTGGAAACCTGGAGGTGACCGGAGAGAAAACAACTTATCCCCGAGCAGTGACAGTAGAGTGTTATTTTTAAGTTTTGACATCAATTATCCATTTTTATATGAAAATACAGCTGGAAGCGACATTTTGGTCAACAGTAAGACATGCAGAACAATTCCGCTTCACTAATTATCTTTGAAATGACGTGGGCGTAGGACAAATGAGTCATTTATTCTTGTATCATCATCATTACCTTTAGCATCGGCAATGATTTTACGTCATTCGAATTCAATTAGTATAATTATTTTTAGTCATGGAATTTCAATTAGTATAAGAAATAAAAAAAAATCGCTGAATAAGATGATCAACTGAGTTAATATTCATTACTGATACGTATTTAGCTAATTTAGTAAACTTAAAATCTTATCGACGGCAGCTACTGCTTTTTTTCATCGAAAAATTATCTTCTCAGATGCGACCCATTTTTGGCTTAGTGGCTTTATCAACAAACAAAATTGTTACAATTTGGTAAGTGAAATCCTCGTGAAGTTCAGAAAATGCAATCACATTACAAAAATGGATCGTTTGGTGCGTATTGTTGTATGCCGGCAACATCGGGCCTTATTTCTTTCCAAATAAGGCAATAAATGCCGTTACTATCAATAGCGAGCATTATAAAACGATGTTGCTAGACTTTTTGTTTCTGAAATTTGAGAAAATCGATGCGAACGATCTCTATTTCCAACATGACGGTGCGCCGACTCTTGTTTCACGTCTAAACATGGACACATTTCATGCAAAGTTTAGCGCTTCGTTAATTTCAAGAAATGGCCCAACCGAATGGCCGTGAAGATTCTACGATTGAACGCCTCTAGATTATTTTAACTGAGGGTATGTTAAATCGAGGAGATCGAAGACAAAATTCAGCGCTTTATGGCAATAATTCCAGCCGAAATGCTGCACCGTGTTATCGAAAATTGGTGTAAACGTGTGAAGAGCCGTGGTGACCATTTCGTCACGCATTTCATAAATGGCATAAAATTACCTGCATGACAGAAGAAAGAAAAAAAAAACAGAACCCATTTTGACACAATTTGTGCTTTTAATTTCATTTTAACATTACGTCGTTCTTCTTGGTAGACCGTTTATATATATATGACACTTCTTGATATTTTGCGTAAAGTAAGTAAACCTACAATGTTGTAGAAAATATATCTGATACAAAATAATCCGCTTTACAAAAAAGTCTTGGGGATTTTTTCCATAACAATATTGCGTCCAAGTTATATATTATAGTTAAAATAATACATCAAATTTATTGAGTCTTCATACAAGCGCTTACAAATTTTGTGTTGCTCATACGCAATGGAGTACTGTGTGCACTGATTATATGCTTATAACTTCAAATGCTTATAACTTTTGAGGAAATATTTTTATAGTAAAAATCAATAAGTTCCTTGTTGTAGCGAAAAAAAATTTTGTAGTAGGATATCTTGTTTTCAAAGTTTAAAGCATATTTGCTTTGGAGTTAAATTATAATTGCAAAATATCAAAAAATTCCATGTCAAGTACATGGGTGAAGTAACATGATTTAGACACGGCTTAAATTGAAAATAAATAGCAAAAACTAAAAGTTTAGGGGTCGTCTGCAAAATCCAAAAAAAAAAAAAAAATAAAACAATCAATTTGAGAAATAACGGACACATTACTGTATATGTATAGATAGATATTGGTATCGCATGAGACGATTCAATAATATATTCACAAGCAAATGCTTTATATATCCACGCATGTGATATATCTTCTTATCACTGTCACTGTCGAATTTATCAATCATTTCAACTCGAACCAACAAAGCGGCGTGTCGAATTTTTCCTTCCATCCTGTTAACTAAATACATGTAACCGGATATGATATGTTATAGTTTCTCTTGTATATATGCATGTGTGTGTATGTAGATGTATGCGCACATCACTGTCAAGCCATAAGATTTCGGTTAATTTTTATTAAATCTTGGCATTCCTTGCCATCAATTGCAGGTGACGTGGCTCAAAGTTGACAAGGGTAAATTCTTTGAATTCATAAACGGACGGAATCCGCCATTCCGGAATACATCCATTGGAGGCGGTGAAATTGATGTGAGTATAAATTTTATTGTAACTGTTTATTTAAGTATATACTCGTCACTAAATATAGATAGATTTATACAAATCTACACAAATACCACAAATTATAATTACATAAACGAATATAAATAGTCACAAACAAGTATTTCACCGAAATTGATGTCTATTTATATAAAATTCTCATTTACATATGTACATAGCAACCTCCTACACAAGTTTTAGTTATAAATGCCACAGATTAGTTTAGAATGTTTGTCGCAATTGCTTACAAATCCCTGCGCATTGCCTTTCTAATACTAGTAGTTCGTCGTTTTGCCCGCCCTCTGTCATTTGTTGGGCGGAATTACAAAGTAATTTATATGCAAAACTAATGCTAGTGACCGAGCGAATAGTTTCGATTTCGATTTCGGCTCCGGTACTAGTTTTGCTTCGGTTTCAAATTATAAAGTCATTTCTATATAATGCTAGTGACCGAGCGAATAGTTATGAATTCGAATTCGGTTTCGGTTTTAGTTTTTCTTCGGTTTCAAAATATAAAGCAATTTCTATGCGAAACTTATGATAGGGACCGACCGAATTATTTTGATGTCGAATATTTTGTTTTAATTTTACTTCGGTTTCAGAAAGAGTATATCATATTCTGTCACTGCAATATATTTATTTATTTATTTAAATATGTCTTTTGTAGTAACTTTTTTGCTGTGAACTCTTTGAGTTTAAGTTTTTCTTCGGTTTTAAATTATAAAGTAATTTCTATGCAAAACTAATGCTGGTGACCGAGCGAATAGTTTCGATTTAGATTTCTGTTTCGGTTTAAGTTTTTCTTCGGTTTCAAAATATAGAGCAATTTCTATGCAAAACTAATGCTAGTGACCGAGCGAATTCTCTTAATTTCGTATCCAATTTCGGTTTATTTTTTTCTTTGGTTTTAGAAAAAGTATATAATATTCTATTACAAGGTAATATATTTCAATAAGTATTTTTTATACACATTTTTGCTGTGATCACTTAAAAAAAAATCGATTCTAAAGCGCATTTTTTGTTTGATATTTAAAGTATTAATGCGTATTATGTGGTCCTGTTCAATTTTCGTTCGTGCACCATATGGTGCATACATGCAATACGATTACAACTTGAAACTGTTACTTTTTGCCTTACGTCAATTCAAACAGCAATTAAGAGAATTTGGTTCCCTTTACAGCGAGTGTAATTACTCCATATTAGAGCTTTTAATACTTTTATTTGTTTGCTGAAGGTAAGGTACGAGTATATAAAACTAGTTTATAGTTGTTTTGAAAGGCTAATAAATAATTTATATGAGCATACATATTTACAAGCAGCATATAAGTCGTTTCGTTTCTGTGTCATGAGTCACGAAATAATTAATGTAATTATTAAGATACAATGTATGCTCCTGCAAATTTAAAATGTCGCGAAACGAACGATTCTTTATAATTTTTAAAATTACTATGAATTGTGAATACTCATACAATACTCTGAGACTTCGATCATTTATACCTACAGGGACCATCATTTGATAAAGTGGGTATAGCTTATAGTTATGACTAATACAAACTACCCTCTACTATCGAAGACGGGTTTGACTGTGTCCCATTTAACAAATTTTAGCGATCCAACTAAGTGAAAGTCCTGGAAAGTGTATGGAAAATTGGTTTGGTTGATGCTGGCACGCTTGTATTGGTTTAGGATCCTATTTTGAAGATTTGCTTTAAAATAGTGAAAGTTATTTGTTTTTGTTAGTCCGGGTCAAATTTGATCAGATGATAGTGTGGTCAATACAAACTGTTTTAGAAAAAAATGCGTAAGTTACCGATTCAGCTTTATAAAATCAATGAATATCAAGTATTTAAAATTCTAAAGGAGTACATGGTAGCAACATTTTTGTTCATTTCTTTGGTAGTTGTTAGCTGCCTAGACCTTTTGCTGAAAAATTAATATCAATCTACCATATAAGCTGCAACTAAAACGCTTTACTGACATTAATTTTAACATTTCTAAAAAAACCATTGATTATAGAAATTAATCATATTTGAGAGTGAAATTATTCATCTTTTTTTTTTTTTTTAAATAATATTTGGTTCCTATTTTCACTGAATGCTTCGTACTAGACATAGGTATAGTAAAAATCGTTAGAACCGTGCTCTTTTAATGTTGATGGAACATTTTCCAGAAAGCTCTTTTCGCGCATCTTTCACAACGTTTATTTGGTCTAGATAACGGCTATGCGATTTTTTCACTTTTGAATGAATTCTTTCACAATAATTGCCACAAATCTTTGTAAACCTTATTTGCTTCCACATAATCATTACAATAAAAAGTCAGAGACATATTTGAAATTCCAACTACTTACATACCTACACAACATATGCATACCAACAGTTATTTATTTACTTCAATGCCGTTTCCCCACTACTTTACCAAAAAAAAAATTCTCTAATGACTTTTTTATGTTTTAAACCACTTTATTAAAAATTAATGACATATTTATTTTGTTTAACTTAACCATAATAATGTGCAGCTTACATTCACATACATACGTAAATATGTACATATAATTTACGCTACGGCCCATAGATTATCATTTATTTACCTCATCATTTAATTTGAATATTTAACAGTGGGAAAATTCCAACGAGACGCAGGTGACGTTGAAAAATGTTGACTTTGAATTGTCAGGACAATTCTTTTGCGAGGTTTCAACGGACGCGCCTATATACACCGAGGCGTCGTTGGATGAATTATTATCAGTATTCTGTAAGTGCAAGCGGAGAACGTTATAAAATATGCTTATTGTTTGTATGTTTTTATGTACATATATGTTTGTCATATTATACTTTTAGTACCGCAAACTGGACCGCCCATAATAAAATTCCGAAAGCGAATGCCATTTGTCATCGGCGAAAAGTTATTTGCTTTATGCAACACGACACGCGCATTCCCAGCACCGCACATCACGTGGCTCATCAATGGCAAGAAGGTGAGTAGACACTTTATTAAACGGTTTTTTATCTTTTTTTTTTGGTTGTTGTTGATCCTAGTCATGTTGATTGGCTTATTATTTGGCCGATATATTAGCGTAAAAAATATTGCAATTATCATTGATGACTCATTGGTGAAAAGCAATTTTCATAGATTTGGACTGCCAAAGCATTAAATAGCTAATAGTCATTGTTGCCACCTGGAAAATTAACAACTTAGAGTTAAAAAGTTATCTGACACTTTCAGTTGCGATTAATTGCTCAATTAAAATATTTGACATTTTTATCAAACCAAATAAAACTACGCTGAACAAAATGTTTGTCTTAAGCAGTGAATTAAGCCTTAGGAATAGTTCACATTTAATTTTTTAAAGTTTATTCAATGAATTCGAAAATTTATTCTAGTTATCCAGAAATCCGAGACCTTTAAAGACAGTTATTACAGCAGATAATTCAAAGCATTAAAAAGTTTTGCAACCTTTCTCAAAAATATTTTTAACAGCTCGCTAATCTTAAAGACGTCTAATTTGATACCCACATGGTAATAAGTATTTTATTTAATCAGTTTTTTTTGGCTCAAACCGTAAGCAACCCTTCCCACAAATATTTATAAGTGAGCTTGAGAATCGTCATCTAGCTTAACGGTTTATAGTGAGATTACAGCACATCTCAAATAACGGAGTAATGAACAATTAGTTAGTTATAATTGAAACATTTTCCTCTTTCTTCATGACTGCTCACATTGCATTAAAACAATATTTCTTCAATATTCGGTTTTCGGCAGGTTGACGATAAATATGTGCGCACGCATCATGCCTACTCAATGACCAATAAAGGTCATCGAAGAACGCAGCAACAACAGCAAATACAGCAACAATTGTTGCAACAAAAATACTATCAACAACAATATTACAATCAGCATCAACAGGAATATCATGTACCATATTTGATCGATCGATATGACAAGAGCTTACGCAGGAGCGGCGGACGACCTGGTGAGTTATGTTAAAAAAAAAATTGAAATATTAAATAAAAAAATTTAGACATTTGATATGGTATTTGCCTTTAATGAAATGAGGTTTAGCGATACACTTTTGTTAACATCGATATTAATGTTATCGAAAAGCAAACTGAATTCGCTTAAGCTATCGATAATTTTTTTGTTTACATTTTCCATATCGATAAACTTTTTGTTTACATGTCTCAAGAAAAAATATAAACAAAAATCTTTGAAAATTTAATCTAAAGTCCAAACCAATGCCATACACTCAGCCATAAATCGATTATTTATTTCTTCCAACACCAAACAAATGAAATATAAGAGCAAATCGTTATAAATAAGAGTACTCGATTAAATACAGTTATCAAATTTTAACCATTTTAACACCAATAAGATCATGACTTCAATTTGAAAAATTTTCACACTACACTGGCCTAAATTTGCTTTCTTTGCCCAAACCAATAATCAATCTGATTTTTTAAGTCGCCAAATCTAGACATTTCGAGTGGTCATATGATGAAATCCGAAATTTTTTTATGATCTCTTACTTACAAATATGACGAATACTTGTCGAATGTTTGTATATATATGGATATGGGTGTCTATATACATGTTTTCATAGCCATTGAAGTAACACAATCGAGCATCTGCTGGTACCTGCTTTGATTCCAGCTCTTCTATTGCTCCGTATGACATTCAACTACCTTTTGAGTACAAGAGGTCTGAGTGTGGGCGCTTGAAGTACAGCAGACGCTTAGAAAGATGTGCAACAAATGTAAATAATAAATAGATATGTTTGCACAGGTAGTTGAGTTTGTTGCAGAAGCATGAGCAATAATTGCAGATTTATACTCAAAGAAGAATTATTTTTCTGAAATTATATATCCCTGCCATAAACGGTAAAAGAGGCTTACGGGATGGCAGGAAATATAAAAGATAATAAAAATATATGTAAAAGTGAAGGTGAAGTGAATAATAATGCAGTAATAACCCGTATTTGCCATGAGCTGCAAATATTTTATGTGCACGTAATATTTTAATGACAGTGAAATCGAGTACCCAGTGAGAAATTAAGCAAATATAAAGAGGTTTTCATGATTAGCAAATAGGATATAAAAGTAACCTTGGTAAATGATCTATCGCCAAATTCTTGGAAGATAATTTCTCAAGAACTTGATTATGATCGGTAAGTTTGTACGGCAGCTATATGCTATAGTGGTTCGTTCTAAACAATATGTTCGGAGATTGAAGTTTTAACTTGGACAATAATCTATGCCAAATGTCGCGAAGATAATGTGTGAAATGAAAAAGTTTACAACACAAAAACTTGATTTAGAACAGTCATTTTATAAGACAGCTATATATAATATTATAGTGCTTTGATGAAAACGATTTGTTCTGAGATTATAGTGCTGCTTTGGATAATCATTACTGCGAAAGACATCTTGTCAAATAAGAAATTTTTCCATACAAAGACTTGAGTTTGTTCACACACATGTATGAAGTGTCAGATTGCTATCTGAAAAATTTGCCAGATTAGTTCGCGCGTATACAGACGGACAAACGGAAATATTAACATGACTAAATTGACTTAGCGTATCGCGCTAATCATTTATACTTTAAAGTAACGCCAACATTTCCTTCCAAGTACCCTGTTCTGGATATAAAAATCGATGCATTTTCCTACTGGGTTCTTAGAAAATTAACCAGCGGTTTAGCTCTAAGAGCCCTTCCGTAAAAATATATAAGAAACTTTATTAATTAGATTAACTGAGCATATGCACGTATTTAATTATGCTAACCTGCTACTTTCTCTTTGATTAATTATAATATTTATTTTTCTTTCGCTCTTCTGCTTTGCTACAGACGATTTCACTTCGCACAGCTCATACCATCATGATGGTCATCATCATTCAGCGAATATTTACAACAATCCCTTCAGCTCCTTGGCCAACATGCACGAAGTTTATGATAACCATGAGATTCATCAGCGAAACTACGACAATAAACCGAGAGAATCGAAGAAGCATAGGTAAGTGCAAGGCAAAGATAATAAAGCGTCGCAATATAGAACAAAGCTGGTTGAAATGGCGGCATATTCCAACTGCAAGTATTTTTTATTCCATTAAAGTAATTAAGTGACAACCGTTGGTTGTAAAATATGGAAAAAAATTGTCTCACTAGTTGAGTCGAAATCACTACAAATACTAAGTATTAGATATTTATTTTAAGAGCGCCACCTATCGGTTTTCTTAAATTTATTAAGAACCCATAGCAAAATCCTTCAAATCGATTGATATTCTTGAATATTATTTCAAGTAATGGCAAGTGAGTTTTATATAAAAAAATCAAAACGGTAGCACTTTTTCTTCAAATTTTTTTCGTTTTGAATTTATGTACTTAAAATTGGATTTCAGTGGAAATTTTCAAGTCATCTGCTGCACCAGAGTGCGTTAAAGGGCATACCCTTTTAGCAATTTTATGCACAATTTTCAACTAATTGCTGTTCTCGTCAGCAGTGAATCGTTTGCAGTCAATTTATGTTCGATATTTTGATTTATGAACACGGAAATTAAAAACTTAACTTCTTAAGTGCAAAGTCAAAATTCCCTTTATATGCTTTTGAAACGGCAATGTGTTTGGTACTGTTCATGCAGAAAATTACTAATTTCCCTAACCCGTTTTTAAGTATATACACAAACATGCGTCGGGATAGTTTCGTTACCCTTTGGCTGGCTGTACCTGCATATATATTCACATATACTTATTTATACACACATATGCTGTTAGCAATGTAGTACATATGTATGTTAAAGCGCTGCAATATTGTGGTAAATTTCAAAAGTTTTCACCTGGAACAAATGCGCTCATATATATGTGTTGTTGGGTGCGTATATGTATGATAGTGTACGCAACGTTTCCGTCGGTAACAAGAAATAGCAGCACACTGGCGCGATTGGGAATACTTTAGAAATAAAGAAGTCGCAGAGTGTTTTCTTTTTTTGTGTAATCTCAGTCGGTTAACTAGTTTTTGGGCTGTGTAAACATGTGAAAAGAATACAATATCGATATCTAACGGTAAGTGTTAGAGTTGCCACCTGTCAAAGGAACCCGAAAAAGACTGTATTCCAAAAAGTGGTTAATTTAATTAAGCTTTAATTAAGAGTTGCCAACTCTTCAGTATATTAAAGTTTGGTAACGTTTTTAGTTTAAAAATATTTTGGAAAGGAGTGGCCATTTAGAAAAAAGTAATGGAAAGCATTTGCAAACTTTTTAATTTAATCATATTTTGCAACAGAGTTGCCAAGTAATAATATATTAACGGAAAAATCATATTATATGCCAAACTTCTACAGATTTTATCATATAGCTTACGAGTGTGTAAATAAATTTTAATTAATATCTCTTCCTTAAAGTATAACTAGAAATCTGTTTCTTTATTCAAGTACATATGTAAAATCGGGACTATCGGTTAAATACTTGTATTTGCTAAATTTAAACGCTTTATGTTCTAAACACTATAGCGTCAATGAACCAAATAAATATAAATGAGTCTATCTGAAATATTTAAAATTCTCTAAATTACTTAATCTGATTAACAGAAATTTCAATTTGGGTAAAACTCACGCACCGAAACACGGTAGCTCTCCAATAAAGAAATTCACCGCGCCACCGGCAGGCACACACACTCTCAGCTGATTGCTCTTCCCCAACTTTGTGGCATGTGTGTGCTCATCGCAGGGAAGTTGCCATGAATGTGCCAGGCGTCTACATTGGTTATGCTTATGTATGTAAATATATATATATATATTATATTATATGTATGCACGAGTATAGTTCGTTGCTGTCGGTGCTGCAGGAGCCGTGTGCTTTAGTTTTCGGTTTTTGGCTGCTGGTTCTTCGCACGATTGGATGTGAGACGTAAATTAATGCCATAAATTATTTACACCCACCTGCGATATTAAAAATCAACGGAAAACTTTTCCAATATCTACAAGTATTCGCTTCAGCTAACTTCAAATTCGGGCTGGAATGTAGGGAAGTGGCGTATATAATACCTCAACCACCATAATTTCGCCTTTGTTCACGGTATATCGTGATGTAGACAATATATGTGTGTGTGTGTGTGTGTTTGAGCTTCTTCGTGTCTATATAGTAGTTATCTATGATATTTCATAGCTATAAGAACCTATGAACCCTATGTGTATGTGCATACTCGAATATGTACATTGTCTACCTCCGTTATTTACCATTCATACCGCTGCCGATATAATGCGGTTCAGGGTTATTGGTTGCACTACGTTGTGAATGTTGTAGTAGCCGCTCCCATCTGTTATTTGACCTTGCAAATTGTATTATATTATATTTGAAAAAGTGTACTCATTTAAGTACAATTTGACATTTATGTGCTTAGCGAAATGTTAACGTAAAAGGTTGCTAATTCATTGGAATAGAAAATTAAATTATTTATATGTTAAAACGGAAAGAGAGAATTTAGAAATCTATATACATACCTAGATAAAAAATTACGTGCAACGTTCTGCTCGGTGTTAACCTCTAAACTACAGAACCGATTTCAATAAAATTTAACACACTGTGTTAACTTCAGCTGCAGCGAAGCTCTAATACGCTTCGCAGAGGAAATTCGTGTTAGCATAAAAGGGTACAAAAAGACCTTTATATTGATATTGATCGATCAGTTTGTATGACAGCTATATGCTTTAGTGGTTTAACCTGAACACTATATTGGTAGACTGTAGTATTGCAATGGACAATAATCCATGCCAAATTTCATGAAGATGTCTTGTACATACAGGGACTTGAATTTGACCGATCACTATATATCGTATATGGCAGCTACGCATATAAGATAGTGGTCGGATATTGAGGGTTTAAGTAAAGAACAGTTTCTTGGAAAAAAGGATCATGTGCAACTTTATTTGCATTTTAAGAAGTCAACTACCTTTTAGTTTACATTTCATGGAATCAATGACTACTTTGTTTATATATAATGGGGTCGATGATACTTTTGTTAAACTTTTGTCCAAGTCAATAACCCTTTTGTTTACATTTAACGTTTGTCCGAGGTCAATGACTTCATTATTTACATTTTGTTAGGTTAATGACCCTTTTGTTTACATTCAGCCAAATCCACATCCTTTTCATACATTTAGCCAAGTCAATAACTTTTTTTTACAATTTGGTTCAGTGGCTCTTTTCTTTAAAATTTATACAGTCAATGAGTTTGTCTGATTTCGCCCATTTTTACACTGTAACATAGGAATATTAAGATAATGTCACCAACAAATTCGGATGAAATTGGTTGAGTAGGTCCAGAGATATGAGTTGTCAACTAAAGGTGAGCGGCGCCACGCCTCTTGTCCAATTTTGTTACCGACTTGTACTAAGCACTCTTGTAGTATATTGGGTGTAAAATTTTATGTCTCTGACATATTCATTTATTGGTTAACAAGACCGTTATGTCGGGAGAGAGTGGATTTATTATTTGATTTTTTCTATTTTCATACTATCGTAAGAGGTGTCAACAGTGTCCTGTGCGAATTTAGGTGATATAGCTAAAATGATTTCGAAAATATGTATACATACAATAAATTAAAAATTTAATTCAATTTATAGGTTTTCGATTATTGGCGTTGTATTGAATTGTTCATTATAATAGTATATAAAAGTACACATTAGCCACAGTAACGCGTGGCGACTCTACTAGTAATTACTTGTATAATATTGTATATATGTTTTATTATATAAGGTTGATGCCTAAGAACCTCCTGACCAAGCTCCCGGAGATTCTAGATAGTCACTATCGATATATGTGCCCTGGCATATTTCTGATGGAATGCAATTCTCTATTGGTCCAATTTGAACGCTTCTAGGCTATTGCTTCCTTCAGATGGAAGCATTGTTGGTATATATGTGCTATATTCTTCGTAAGCTATGCGACATGTGATGCAAAAGAAAACAGAAACGGTTTATGCTCATCATGAATTTAGCTCGTCTATAGCCGATGAAGTCTTTCCAAGCAATCGATGATTCATCTATACAAATCGAATGCTATATCAGGATTTTTGTGAACAACGCTAAGACATATTTTTAGCCATTTCATAGCAGTTTTGAATTTTTCAGCTCTTTGATTCCAATTTTAATTTTAAGTCGCATTGCCGGAAAGCAAAAGTCGATGGTGTCAAGTTGTCATAAACTTTGGTTATACACCAGAAAAGAGGTAAATAAAAGGTTGAATTATGTGGAACGGTCTTTAAAGAAATGTTTTGGAAACAAGGCATTCGAATCTTAATGGATTATACAACTATTTCTTTACAGTTTTGCACCAAGTTCAAAAATAGTTATAGAAATATACACATTGATATATCTTTATACATATTAAGACAAAAGTACGTATGGGCATGGATGACAATGATATCTACTCCACTCATAAACGATTTGCAACCCTGTCTTTACTGACCTAACATTTTGTTCTCCTTTAAATAGACACCTTATGGCTTTGGATAGTATTGGCTTTTATAACGGTACAATGTCATATATTGCAAAACAAAATGAGCAAAATAAAATTTTAAGTTCGGCGGTCAGTAGTACATTAGCCTTGGTGAAGGGACCAACTTCAAATGACTAATATTAAGCAATCACTAACCACTATTAGTGACCCTCATAGGCTTGTAGATTTGTTTGGGTACAAATATATAGTAATTTGCACACATTTTGGCACGCAAATGGTGCGTGACATTGCGGACGTTTGTGCCTCAAAAAGCTGTAAATTCTTACGAACCGGCACATGCATTATATGCGCTCATATAATGTGTATGTTTGTGTGTTAATAGAATTATTCGCATTCGCATTTCGGTCTCGATATGGTAATGTCGGTTTGCCAATCTGATGAAGTAACGCCAATGAGACGCTTCAACTCAGCTACAAGCGAAGCAGAAAAGTGTAATAAAATGGAGCAATTAAAAGCAAGACCGGGCACTAAATTAAAGTGACCCTTGCCTAGGGGTTTAA